CTGTTCAAAGAAGTTTTTTCTAAAAAAATAATTTAAGCATATTCTTAAACTTGAGGAAATATAATTCTATTTATTAAACCAAATTTTTTTGAATCACTTTTTATTGCTGAACAATTTAAATAAAAACATCAACTTAAATCAAATTAAACAAAATCAAATTAAACAAAAAATCAACATCAAAAACCATTTGAATGAAAACTTAATTATAACTAAGTTTTAATAGTATGCTAGATCGAGAAACAATAAATTATAAAAAACGTGGTATTTAATGTTTTTTTGCTTTTTGTCTATAGATTAAAGACTTGTATGGCTTATAGGCATGTTTTTGCGCAAAAATTTATTAGTTAGAACAATTCTATTTATTTACTTCATTTTATTTTAAATGCGTTTTATGTTATTAATGTTATAAACTGTATAAAACAGCAATAAAACAGCCTCGCTAAATTGTTTTACATTAACACTTTGTATTGTTGAAACAACATTGCAGTTTGTTTTATTGTTGTTTTATAGCTTTTTACAATAAGAATTAAATATTCTTTAAAAATAACATGTATTTTTTCTTCAGCATGAATGTATTAAATAGTTTTCTATGACTGATTAAAGTGGTTTGTGTTTTTACTCTTACTTGGCATCTGATACTTTTTTAAGTATCATGTTAAGTTAAAACAATTACTAAAAGTAATATCTTAATAGTATTAAATATGATACTTGCTCATTACACTATGCTCATTGCAAGCTCTGCCAGGAAGGTGTGCGATTTCAAGTCTTTATATGACCACGCAAAAATATTTTGTTTTGATGATTTAACCATGGTTTTTAACAAATGCGCTGAAAAAATTGGTTTTTAATTTCACTGGAAATAAATTACTCGGACACGTTTATCTTAATGTTTTTATATTAGAATTAAATGATATAATTATTTTTTATATATAAAAAATATTTATTTGTTTATTTTTTTAATAAACGATATAATTATTTTATCTTTTGTGAGAAGAATTGTTAAGAATATCTTTTTAAACTTTTAAATGCGCACATTTGTTAAACAATCATCAATTTTAAGTTGTTACTTTATTTAAAAAGGGTTAAATAAAAGTATTAGTAAAGATAAAGATAAAATAAAAGCATTAGTAATGATGAACGATTCAAAGTTATTTATTTCAAACGTAATTTAGATAATCTTATCGTTATATTTTATTTTTTCAGTGAAGTTTTAATTTTATTTTTGCTATTTTAGTTTTACTTTTATTTTAAGTTATTTTAATTTTGTTTTTCGTTATTTTTTTAACAAAGGTTTATTTGCTTCTTTAACAATAATTTTTTGTTTAAGTTTCTCTATAGTTAAGTTAAGATTTGATTTAATTATATTAGCCCATTTTTAAAACAAATACAAATTTTTAAAACATTTTAACAGCAGTTGTCAAGTTAAGTAAAATCAAATAGTATTTGCGTGGTCATATTATGACGTGAAATCGCACGGCTTCCTGGCCAAGCTTGCTAATAGAATACTTCTTACTTTATACAATAGAATACTTTAATTTATAACTTAAGCAGTAAATTATAAAAGTATCCTATGCTACTTTAAACTCCACCAAATGAGAAAATTATAAGATAATATTTAAATATGAGAGATATGTTTGAAAAAATAAAACAATTTTATACTAACACACACCCCTCCCCATTATTGCAAAGCGGCGCCAGGGATAAAGGAAGGGGAGTGGTAAATTTTTTTTTTTGCAATTAGATTTTTTTGCTTTAATTTGAGCCCTGAGATTATTAAATTAATTTTTTTAACTGCTGTATTAAAGTCACCCTCAAAAGACAACACTCTTCTTCATTTCCAGTACCTTCTGGAGAACTGCAAGATTTTTGGTCTTGTTTTTTTTTTTTTTTATCTACATTAATGATCTTCCTGACAACCTTACATTTAGAGTGTCTCTATTTGCTGACAACTCAACTTTATACTCCTGTTGTTACAAAAAGTAATAACTTTTTGATTGTTCAGAACAGTCAGCTGATCTTGTATCTGATCTCTCTTCTGTAACAGCTGGATGCTTGCAGTGGCTTGTGAATTTTAACTCCAACAAATCTTAGTTTATTACTGTAAGCAACAATCACAATACTGTCGACATTCCTATATTAATGAATAGTGATCCAGCTTTTCTTTATTTCTTTTTGGATAATCATTAACTACTGACCTCTCATTGAAACCATATATATTTAGTCCATATATACATTTAAAAGTTAGCATCTGCTAATCTTGTCTCTTTATTGTGCTCATAATTTCCTTTCTCCTGATTCCATCCTTTACCTCTACAAATTTCTTTTTCCCTCATTCTCATTTGTCATATGAAATACTGTTATCATATTTGGGCTTGTTCTTCTAATGGTGCTTTTATTTTTCTAAATAAGATCTAAAAACACATTGTAAATGCAGCTAAATGCTCCCAAATCTCCCAATCTTGACCCACTTTCCAATTTTTGTAAGGTTGTATCTTTCACTTTTCTATAAATCTGCCGTAAATTGGCAAAAGGAAGCATGTTACATTAATACCATAATATGTTTTATGATGCTTTTCATGAGAGGAAGCATGTTGCTATTATAGCAACATGCTTCCTCTCATGAAAACATCTCTGCACTGTGCAGAGAATTTACTTTAAACTATAGCAACATGCTTCCTCTCATGAAAAACATCATAACATATATTATGGTAATAATGTAACATGCTTCCTTTTGCCAATTTGCGACAGAAATTCTATCATGGTGGCTGCTCAAAGGAGCTATCATCCCTAGTTCCATCAACCAAAACTCATTCTCTCTTGACTTGTCACCCAGTAAAGTTGCATCTTTTTACTGTATCTTTCCCTTTTACCGTATCTTTTCCTTCAAAATTTATTTATCTAACTTTCTTCCTCTCAAATAAATTTTTTGGAACTTAACGACATAATTATGTTTTCCAAACTTGAATAATTTACAGTTTTAAGGCTTCTTTCAACCTCTCTTGCATGGTTCAGATTTGTTTTTCAGATTTGGTTACCTCACCTAAAGACAAAGGTGATTTGTTTGCTAAGAACTTTTTATTAATCTCATCTGTTCATTCCACGAATCAAATCCTACCTGATATAGCCAACTAACAGGTTGATCCATTGCTTGACATTCGTACTCCAGCTTCTGTATCTAAAGTGATTTCCTGCTTAGACTCTTCTATAGCTTGTGGTCCAGACGACATACCTCTTATAGTCTTGCAGAAGTGCTCTCCGGAGCTGTTGTCTATACAAAACTATTTAAGAAGTGCTTATCAGAGTCTTGTTTTCCAGTCTGCTGGAAAGCGGCATCTGTTATTCCTATATTCAAAAATTGTGGAGAGCAATTTGACTTGTCTAACTACCATCCCATTAGTCTTCTTACTATCATAAGCAAGGTTTTTGAATCTTTAATTAACAAAAACTTAACCACTCATCTTAAATCTAATAACCTACTTTCTGATCATCAATATTAATTTCAATCTTCTTGTTTTACTGCTGATATGTTAGCAGTAATAACTGATAGGTTTTATTGTGCATTAAATTTTTCGGCTAATCATTATAGCAACATCAACAATCTAGATCTTTCTATATTTATGAATGGTGATGTACTTGATGAGTTATCTATCCTTTGTCTTCTAGGATTAACTCTTACTTTTGATTACTTACTTTCTTGGAAATCATATATAAAATCAATTGCAATATTAGCACTCTTAATAGTGCTTGCCACTTTCTTTCTCCGGATTCTATTCTTTATCTTTATAAATCTCAAATCTCAAAAACTGTTGTTAGCAGTCTCAAATACTGTTGCCATATCTGGAGCAGATCTTCAAATGATCCCCTTTCTTTTTTAAACAAAGTGCAAAAACACATTGTAAATATAGTTGGACCTGCACTTGCAGTTAACCTTCAACCATTGTCATATCGTTATAATGTTGGTTCTTTTTCTCTTTTCTATAAATGCTATATTTGGCGCTGCTCTAAAGAGCTAGCATCTCTTGTGATATCTACTTAAAATCATTCTCGTGTTGCTTGTCATTCAATTAAGTCTCATCCTTTTACTATGACTGTTTTTTTTCAAAATATTAGGGACTTTTACTAAGTCCCTAATATTTTGAAAAATAGGCTTTTCTAAAGTATGTCAACCTAGTATTCAAAATAAGCAAAATTGTATAAAAAATTTAAAAATGAAAATAATTTTTCAAAAAAATAATTTTTTCAGATATAAATGCATAAAAAACTATTGTTTTTAAGCTGAAAATAATGAGTCAATAATTTCAAGTTTTTTGAGAATAATTTTTTTAGGCATGTTTTTTACAAAAATTGATTTTTATTTTGAAGTTTTTATATAATTTCTCTTCTTTTGAGTACCAGGTTGACACACTTTAGAAGAACTTTTTTTCCCAAAATATTAGGGATCTGTCAAATTTTGAAAGGTCTTACCCTTCAAAATTTGCTACTTTAAACTAGCCCTAAAAATATTTTTTGTTTAAAAAAATTTTAAACCTTGTGTTTTAGTATAGAACAAATTAAATGGGTAATCAGGTTTTTTCCAAAAAAATTAAAAATGTTAAAATTAAGATATAATTTTGTAATAAGGCTTACATTTTGTTTTTAAGTTGTTACATATTGTTACATTCTTTTTATTGTTTTTTAAGAAATTAATAAAAAGAATGTTTTAACTTTATTATGGCACAAGTTGTATCAGTATAAAAAGCAGTTGCTGCACAAGATGGGAATTATTGCAACATAAAACTTTTTAAAATAAATATTATGCATAGCTCATGCTAATTAAATTGTTATATTCTTGTGTAGTTTTAAACTGTGTTTTTCATTATCCCATCATAATCATTATAATAGTGTGATATCTGTCCAATTAATCTCATCATAATATCATCCCATCAGTATGTCATCCTGTCATTGCATCATGCTGTCTATTATAAGTTCAATTTTAACAAAAATTTTACATCTGTTTTCAGCTCATAGGGCAATACTTGCCTCTTCCAGTCCTTACTTTTATGCTATGTTCACAGGAGAGATGTCAGAAAGTAAACAGAACTGCATAGTTTTAAAAGAAGTTGATGCATATGCTTTAGAGCTGCTTATAGGTTATTGCTATTCAGGAGAGGTGCAAGTTACTGAAGAAAATGTTCAAGTGAAGTATTATTTACTTTTAACTAAAATAACTTCATTCATATTTAGTTAGTTATCATTTTTACTACCTTAAATAGTAGTTATATATATATATATATATATATATATATATATATATATATATATATATATATATATATATATATATATATATATATATATATATATATATATATATGTATATATATATATATATATATATGTATATATATATATATATATATATATATATATATGTATATATATATATATATATATATATATATATATATATATATATATATATATATATATATATATATATATATATATATATATATTTTTTTTTGCATTCTACAAGGAAGTCTAGATCGCCAGCTTTGGTTTGAATTTCCTTTAGAACTTCATTTTTTGGTGCAACAAGATCGGATTCGGTTATATCCAGAGCAGTTGCAAGCTTCTTAATAACTGCTTCTTCAACTTGCTTTATCTTTCTCTTTCCAAGTGAAGGCTTGTTAGAGGTTTTGGGTAAATGAACTTTTAAAGGAGACACTTCAAGTTCGCATAAAGTACTGTTGAGCAACGATCTTGTTGATTCCAGTATAAGATCTTTTTCCATATTATCTTCAGGTAATTTCATCTCTAACTCGTTCTCTTCTGATTCTTCACTTGCTAATTTATGCCTGCATTCTGTACAAAGTTTTTCACCTGGAACTACGAATTTGCCTTTACTGCATAGGTATTTTGCTGTATCCAAGTTGATTTCACGAAGACTACCTAAAAAAAGGGAAGAACTCTTTTAATATGTATAAAATTTTTAATAAAACCTTCAAAAGTTTAAAGTTGTATGGCATTTAATTGTGCACTTTCAGAAGTCAGCTAAAAGGTTAAATATAGCTAAAATAGAATTTTGCTGCCAAGAATTTCATTATTGTAATTCAAAACGTTTCTACAAAACTAAAAGTTTTACTATAAATTCATGATTACTTTAAATACCTTTTATAGTTTTGTTATGAGTATTAAATGGATTGCAGCACCGTGTTAATTTAGTTGTATAACGCTTCAAATAAACATGTTTATGATGGAGACAAGTTGTTGGTTTGATATTTATTATTGAGAGCCCAGTCCTCCACATTAATATTTCTCTTTCATATTCAATAATATCTTCAAAAGGTTCGATTCCCAGCAACGATGTATATGTTGTAAGATGACATTCACTTTCTAGGTTGATTCCAATAGAGCACTTTTGACTGTTTGCCATGACTAAGAAACTGAATTACCAAACAAGATTTAATAATTATTTAATCTAAAATTAAAATAATTTTTTTTATTGAAATTTGTTATTATTAACTGTTGTTTTAAAACTATATTTAGACACATAACTGACGTCCCAAAACTATATTTACACATCACAGCAGGTGTTGCAAAACTATATTTTTCATGATAATTCACTTCACAAAATTTTATTTCTATATCAAAATCAACCTTAATAAACTGTTTTTACACACCACAATTGAACCCATGAGAGTCAGGCAATTTGTGAAAATGTTACCCCCGTTTTTTGGTTAGGTAATATACCATTTTAAAATTCAAATATTATTTTAAAATATTAGGAATTGGGTTAATTTCTCTTCGTCTTTGTATTCAACACCTTTAAAAATGGTCAGATACCAATTTGCAGTCATATTTCTCTACTAGATCTTAAATTATTCACACAATAAGTATCGCTATAAAATCTATAATAGAGAATAGATGCCAAATAAAGAAATTTTTTGTCTAAATTTCAAAATGAAATATCTTTTCTATGCTTTAAAATCGAATCCATGAGACTTGGACAACTTCGGGAATTAATGAAAGCGCAACCCATGGTTACAAAACAAAAAATTTGACTGGCCATTTTAAAATGAAAAAATTACTATCAAAAAATTTAAATTTCACTATTTTATCTACATTTTTGAATTCAGCACCCTCAAAAATGGTCAGGTACTGATTTTCAGCCACATTTTCCCACTAGATCTTAAATTATTCAATTAAAAGTACTACTACAAAGTTCATAATGGCGGAAGTGGAAAAAAATAGGACGTTTTAGGCTGAATTTCAAAATGTCATAACTTTTGAACGGTTTGGATTTGGAAGCTCAAACTTTACATTTTTTTTGTTATATTGATAGGTACCACTGGTTCAAATTTGAAAGAAATCTGAGAGGGTGACTGAAAAATTTCAATTTTTTGTCCCACTTTTACATGGAATTACCCTATATATATATATATATATATATATATATATATATATATATATATATATATATATATATATATATATATATATATATATATATATATATATATATATATATATATATATATATATATATATATATATATATATATATATATATATATATATATATATATATATATATATATATATATATATATATATATATATATATATATATATATATATATATATATAATATATAAATATATATATATATATATATATATATATATATATAATATATATATATATATATATATATATATATATATATATATATATATATATATATATATATATATATATATATATACACATATATATATATCAGTGCATGTTATGAATAAATCCACCCAGCGCAATATTTCGCACTCATAATACTGAAACACATTATCAACGAGTGCAATTATGCGTGCTCGGTATAAAGTCTTCAAGAGCGATATTTAGAGTTGGAAATTGGTTGCCATGGTGCCAGCCATATATTATCTACGCAAGTATGGGGAGGGGGTCACTCAAAAGTGTACCAGTGCGTACAAGGGAAAGGGTAGACGATTTTTTGTTTGAATTTTTTTTCATGTGAAGTCCAGGAAATCAGATGAAAAAGCTTTGGTTTTTTAGTTATTTTATTTGTCTATCTACCAGAAAAAATATTTTACTGCAGAAAAAATATTTTACTGCATATTAAAAAAATACAATTAAATATCCCATTTACTAAAAGTTGATATCATAACACGATATGACAACATTGTTTCCTATTGGAGTTAAATTAATATGCTTGATTGTGGACATTCTAAACAACAGATACGTTTTTAATTTAGTTCAAAAGAAATAATCGTTTTTTTTTTTTTTTTTTTAAACATCTTCGCTTCCAACAAGGCTGCAAGCAACCAGTAATTAGTGTTGGAAGTCACTGGAAGAGAAAAAATAAAGATTGTAGAGCAAGATAACGATTGACAGACAATTTAAAAGATTGCAAATTATATGAATGAGGAAAGCAAGATGAAGGAAGCGAATTTCAAAGAACAGATGTTCGAGGAAAAAAACTAGACGAGTAAGAGTTTTGGGAGCACTTAGGAACAGTAACAGAAAAAGGATGAGACTTAATTGAATGGCGAGTAACACAAGAATGAATTTTAGTAGATGGCACAAGAGATGTTCGCTCTTTAGAGCAGTGCCCATTATAGTATTTGTAGAAAAGAGAAAGAGAAGCAACATTACAACGATGTGACAGAGGTTGAAGGTTGGCTGCTAGAGCAGGTCCAACTATGTTTACGATGCGTTTTTGCACCTTGTCTAAAAGAGAAAGGACATCATTAGAAGATCCGCCCCAGATATGGCAACAGTATTCCATACAAGGCCGGATTTGAGAATTATAGAGATGAAGAATAGAATCCAGAGTAAGAAAGTGACGAGCTCGATAAAGAGAAGCGACATTAGCAGATGCTTATTTTGCAACGGATTTGATATAAGGCTTCCAAGAAAGATCAGAAGTAAGAGTTAATCCTAGAAGATGAAGGGTAGAAGACTCATCGAATACATTACCGTTCATAAATATAGGAAGGTTTAAGTTATTGCAATAACGATTGGCTGAAAAAAATTGGGTTTTATCTGAATTAAAGTTCACCAGCCACTGTGAGCCCCATGCTGTAGCAGAAGTGAGATCTTTTTCAAGCTCAGATGCCCCCTGCAAGCAATCAAAGCAAGTTAAAAATAAAAATAATAAGATAAAGAATATTTTTTTTATTTACAAAAGATGTGTGAAAAATTAAAAACAATAAAGCAAAAGAATCTTAGGTTTTTACAAAGTCTTGTGGATTTTTCAACTTTTGATTTTTTATAATTCAATCAAGTTTTAATTTTTATATACTTGATTATATACCTAATAAATATATAATAAACTTATCTTTTTATAATATATATTAGTGTAAATGCATATATATACTTGTACAAATATCATATATAAATAACTTATATACTGATGATTATTTTAAGAAATGCGTTTGTGAAAACAATGGCATTGCATTTTTTCCTTTGTTGTTTGTGAGCATGCTTCCAAAAGTTTCAATTGAAAGTTGTATAACAAATATATTTGTTATGCGTATTTTTTTATTGAAACTTTTTTTTTTAATTTTTAGTTTTGATAAGGTTTAATTTTTTTACTAAATAGACTTTAATATAAGCTTAACCGATTCGAAGATATCAGTGAAAATATTTAGTTTATTAATAGTTAATATTTGAAAAAAAGTTTTTTGATATTCTAACATTTTGATGTTTTTGAATTTTATATATAATAGTCTTTAATTAATAGAATGTGATCGAACCTGTACAAAATTGAATTTATATGTTTTAGCTTGATAAATTTTTTACGCTAGATATTTATATATATGTATATTTATAATTATTACATATTTATAAATATTACACTAGATATTTAATTTTTTAACATTTAAGTTTTGATATTTTGTTAAATGAATTTTTATGCAATTCAAAGTAAAAGTGAAGTTTTTTGTCAAATGGACCCTAAAAAACTGCACCAGTTGGCAAAGGGTTCGACTTATCAAGAGTATGATTAGGCAGATAATTGGACAATATTTTGTCTAACTTTTTTATCCGTAAACTTTGGGAAGTCAGACGAGAAAACTTTGGTTTTTGTGCTGATGCACTTTATTATCTACTGAAACAAATACATACCTGCGACTTTACTTTGACGTTATAAAAAAACAATGGATTATTGCATAGTGT